TTTTAATATCTTTGGTAGGTAAATAATAAGTAAGGGTAGAATTGTACTTTTAAGTGCTAAAATGACTAGATTTCATTGTTTTACAAAAAGTGGCTATATTTCATTTTTAACTTCAAAAAATGGCTAGAAAACCGCCCCACTGTTTAAGAAATATGTTTTCCATACAATTTGGGTAGAAAACGTATTCCTTAAATACGTTTTTTCAAATTTCTTTATAAAAGAAAACGTATTCAGTGAATATGTTTTACAATTAAAAAAATGGTAAAACGTATTCACTGAATACGGAGTTTTTATTTTGGTCCACTCTCAATTATTTGTGTATTTTTTTTCCACACCTCAATTTTTTTTCAACATTCTGGTAAAAAATTCTTGATATCATGTCGATATAAGAGCATCTCTAATAAACATCAACAAATCTTCTTTTTCTATTCTCAATATTCCACGCCCAAAACTCTATTTTTACTCCTACAATAAAAAACCTCAAATAACAATAAACCTCTTTTTTTAAGGGGCCCACATGTTTACCACTTATTTCTATTTTAATATCATACTTCTAAATATTAAATAACAATTCAATATATACTATATTTTATTCATTATAAAATTGTATTAGTACGTACCCCGTGCTATGCACGGGACAAAGATATTAAATGATTTATTTTCACAGCTTTGTCCGTTTAAGTCTAAAAAGTAATAGAGCTATTATCTATCATCGAACTCGATCCCAACTGAACTCAACTGAGTTATGACGGAGTTGAGCTCATTGAGATAATGTGCCATGCACAAGAGCACTTTCAGTCATCCGCAGGTTGAACAGTCGCCTCATCAAATGAACTTTGTTTTAGGCTGATGGTTTCTCGTGCATGTTCGAAAGAGCCTTCATGAGGCATGCTGTCATCTTTTCTTTTGCAATGTTAAAAGCAACATTACGGGATAACGTCAGTCGAATGGCTCCAAGAGCTTGTCTGTCAAGTAGACTCCATTATTCCTCCTTCATATCCTCTGGCTTCTTTCCTGTGAGTAGTTGATACATATTCTTCTGGTACAGATAATCCTCGATCTGCATCTTCCAAAAGCCAAAGTCCGCACGATCGAACTTTTTAATTTTTATTTTTCCTTCATCTGGAGCCATCACTTCGTCTTTGATCTGATTCTCTGTCGGATCGTTTCTGATAATTTTTGTGAACTACCGAGTTTCAGAACACGTCGGTAGATAAATTTGTAGCGCCGACAAATATGACACTATTCACGGAATAGTAACACCACACAAATTATAGAATTAACAATCTTGCTCTGATACCAGTTGGGGAAAATACGCTGAATTTTCCATGAAGTCGGATCTATAAAAGTGAAATAGAAGCGAAACACATTGAACACATAAAATTGATAAGGGAGTTCGCGAAATAATGCCTACGTTTCCAAACTACTGCAGATATTTTATTAGAAGAAAAAAAAATACACTTGTGTTTACAAAACACTCTCAAACTCACTTCACAACTCAACAACTCAAATACAGAAACTAAAAAATTCTTGCTTCTTGATCACACCTTTTTCTCTTTTGGATGTTGTTATTGGTGTCCTCATTTGCACTCTATTTATAGATGCAAAAGTGCAACAAATTTCCAAGAAAGGTGGCTTCATTTTTCAACAATTGTGGCTTATTTGTGAATGCTCTATTTTCAACATTGGTGGGTGCTCCATTTTCAAAATTTGTGGCTTCTTGGTGGCTACTTTTCAACACATCTCTCATCCATGGTGCCTCTCCATCTGCTTCGACGGCCGCTCAGCCCAGCTCGGCCCCAACCGTCACCAGGCCCGCGTGGAGTATGCCGTCGCCAGAGATATCTGAGGACAGGGTACTATGACGGCCGCCCTGAAATTGGCGGTTTGTATGGTTTTTGAGGAGGTGGGTTTTGTGGTGAGGTTGGA